AGGATCCTCCTGCCTCAGCCTCCTGAGTGCTGGGAGTGCTGGGAGTGCTGGGATTATAGGCGTGTGCCACCATGCCCGCTGCAAGGTCTTAATTTAGCCATAGGCATCCAAATGTTTCTCTTCAGCCTTAGGCACTGGATCATCCGGGCCTTGTTAACTGGTCTAGGAGGACCCAAGAGCTCAGGTTCCCTCCACTGCCTCCTTCCAGTTCCCTTGCCTTCCAAGGGGCTTCCGGTAGATTAAGGGGGCAATAATTATTGCTCCTCTGTGTTCCAGAGGCTGGGGCCGGTGGGACTGATGGGTGGGGAGTGGAAGAGGTGGGTAGGATGAATCCTCAAAAGGAAACACGAAATAAGTAAGTGTACTAGGAGATAGTAAGTCGGGTGACAAGGCTGTGGGGAGTGGGTAGTTCAAAGTTGGCGCAGTTAAAATTGAGAATAAAGGATGAAGAAAATGTAGGAAACTTCAGAAGGTGGTGACTGCAAAGCTCAGGGTGAGTCAGAGCCCAGCAGCTTATACTGGAAGAGCTGAATTAGTTTGTGCGGTGCACACATGCGCTATTGGAGGCTGAATCCAGGACCTTTATGCTGCGATAGTTTCCCAGCCCTTTCTATTTATTTAGCTCTTAAATTTTGAGACAAGGTCTCTCCAAGTAGCTACACTGCCCAGGCTGTGCTTGAACTCATGATCCTCCTGCCTCAGCCTCCCAGAGGGGTGGGGTTACAGGTTACAGGTGCACACCACCACAGGGCTTCAGATGGTTCCTAAACATCCGCTACAGTCTAGGCACCGTGCAGTCATGGAAATGGGGGGAGAGGGTAGTTTCTGGGGCTGCAGCTTTTCCACACGTATAATGGCTGTGACCAGAACAGCAAGATAGCGGAGTATGAGGATACATGCCTACAATCTCAGTGCATGGGAAACTGAGGCAGGAGAATCTAGAGGTCAAGGCCAGTGTGAGTCTAAACTATGCATTGAGACCCTGTTCCGAGAAAAAAACAAAATAGGGCCTGGGGAATCTATTCAATCCTTTTTCTTTTGGTCTTTTTGAGACAAGGTCTCACTATGCAGTTCAGGCTGGCCTTGAGCTCACTTTGTAGCCCAGGCTGGCCTTGAAGTTGCAAAGATCCTCCTGCCTCAGTCTCCCCAGTGCTGGGATTACAGGCGTGTGCCACCACGCCTGGCATGGGGCTGGGGATCTAGCTTAGTGGCATAAGCGCCTGCCTGGCAAGTGCGAGGTCCCGAGGTTGATTCCAGACACCAAAAAAAAAAAAAAAAGAAATAGCAAGATGATAGGAAGGGACCCAGGGTGAGGCTCCGAATGCCCTGCTAACAAGCTGGACTTAATTTTTCAGAAGACTGTAGCTCATCAGAACTGAAAGGGAGCTTGTCAGAGACAGTGTGAGCCCCAGATAGCTGGGTTCAGCCGGTGTAGCTTAGGGTCCACTTCCAAACTATGCACAAGCACACTCCATCTTTAAGATGCCATGAGCATCTGCCCCTAATGTGTACAACATAATCATCTGTAAATTACAGCATCGCACAGGTGTACTTATTATCAAACCACACAATAGAAAGATTTCGATCCTTTCCGATATTGCCCGTGTTCCTTTATTATACTTTTTTGAATGTACTTAATGATTCTAAGCATACGGATTTTATGGTTTCCTCAGCTTGCTCTATTTCCCGTAATTACTGCCACTTCTCATGCTGGGCCTGTGTCCCTTAGGGCGACCTGGGAAGGTGCAGGGTTGTAGTTTTTACTGGAAGCTCATTTTTCCAAGGCTTACTGTTTTCTGCAGAGAGCCCCACGCATGCCTGGTTGTGAATATTTCCCTCTGGGTATTTTTGCAACTCCGTACAATTGCTAGCTAGGACTTCACAGGTTTTGCAGTCCTGGACCAGTTTCTATTTCATTTCGTCAGAGTTCCCTCGTCTCAGAAGACACTTAAGTATCTGTCTACATCTGAGCTTGGATGGGCCTTGGTTCTGATTTCTCAGGACTTTTCAGTTTCCCACATAAGTCAACTCCACGGTAAATGTTCTTCTTGCTTCCTCTGGAAGGTGGGTAGTTCTTCTGTTCCTTGCTAAGCCCTAAGCAGAACGGCCTTCTTGCCATTGTGAAGCACCTTCAGGTAGGTGCTTCAGTGTGGCTTGTTGCTTTACAAGGGCCAGAAAGCTTTATTTCCTATCCCTGAACAGAAAAAAAAAATTTTTTTTTTGAGACAGGGTCTCGCTATGCAGTTCAGGCTGGCCTTGAGCTCACTTTGTAGCCCAGGCTGGCCTCCAACTCGCAAAAGATCCTCCTGCCTCAGCCTCCTGAGTGCTGGGATTACAGGTGTGTGCCACCACGCTTGGCCCCGCACAGAAATTGGAAGACCAGCCCCAAGCTGTGCAAACCTAAATCCACGCCCTAAGCCCCCTGTGAGGCTGAGATGGCACTTGTAGAACTAGCTTCCTGAAAGCTGGACTCTCTGTTTTGCTTCGTGACCAATTCCACATTCTAGTTCTTTCCTTTTTACGCAGCACTCACAGGTACTATTACAGCAGTATTAGGGCTGCCCGATCTGATGCCACATTGCTAGAAACCGAAGCCCACTGTTTAGATAGTTGACTCAATAGTTTTTTTTTTTTTTTTTTTTCTCCTGTTTTTTTTCCAGTACCAGGAATCGAACTCACGACTTTGCACTTGCCAGGCAGGCACTGTGCCACTGAACTAAATCCCCAGCCCCTGATTCCATACGTTTCATTTAGAAAAAAATAAAGAGCTTCACTGTAAAAACAAATTAAACCAAAGGATGTATCCTGGTTCTCATACTGATGAGGAAAGGAGGAGCAGGAAAGCCCAGGGAGCTCTACTCTTCAGTTTTCTTTCCCTCCATCCCTCCCTTCTGACCTTCCTTCCTTCCCTCACAGACTTTCATAGTCGCACCAAAGGCCACTGAGCAGGGATTAATGCCCACATCTCACCTCCTTCAGGCAGACATCTCAGACCCTTACTGGAAGGGCAATGCCACGATTTGGTTTATGAAGAGCTGGATTTGCTCTGTGCAGACTCTGACAGCCAGGTTTCTTTGTGGAACAATTACGAGTGTTTTATAAAGGCATAGTCACGGCTTCAAGTGGTTACTACTTTTCAGTAACAATACGAGCCAATTAGAGTTTCACCTGTTTATGCGACCCTATTAGTGTATCTGAGATTCTGCACTGCGGTCACATTAAAATCCCTGTACAAACCCAGTGACAAGCATTGTTCCTCCGCATCTGTGTTTCCCATTTACATCTGACTCACTGTTCTGTCTCAGAAGCTTTGCATCCTGTATTATCAAAAGCAATCCCCTGGGAAGTGTTGGTTTGTTAAGAAAAGTCAACAAACTGTTAAGTGAAGAAATAAGTAACCGATAGGACTTCAAAGGCCCTTATTCTTTTCATCCCACAGCACCGAGGAGGACAGGACGTCACAAAGGCTGGCGGCTGTCCCTTCTTTCCATGTTAACAAAGCCAAACCAAAGCCTCTTTACAGTCAGAACAACCAGCACTTACGCAAAAGTAGATTAACATGGTGATTACTCTCCTAGGATTGGAAGTTCTAGAGACAAGCGAATTCTTACACTGCCAAAAGGCCATCTAACGGCATTGGAGACCCGAGCCTCCCAGGTGGGCCCTTCTGGAGAACTCCAGTCTGGCGTTATGATCATTATTCTTCATTGAGGTCATGATTGTACCACCGTTTAGTGAGCACGTACTATGGTGCCAGGAACCATGTTAAGTGCTTCACAAGTATCATCTTTTCTCATCCTCCCAGTAAATCCAGGAGAGGTATATTCCCATTTATTAGATGACAAAGGTGAGGCTTAGAGTTATTAAAAACACCACTCAAGGTTGCCCGGCTCGTATGCGTGCTGATGCTATGATTCAACCTGTTGTCTGACACCAAGGCCCATGTTCTAACCTTCAACCACCAACCTGCCCAGTGTATATAAAAATTCACCCTCCTGGATTCTACCTGCAAGGCTTTGTTATGAGGAACTCCCCTTCCCCTTAAAGGTTACTTACCTAAATAATTTGAGATGATCCGAAAGTTTAGGGATATCAGTAATGTCCTCCTAAGGAAAAATACAACATTTCAGAAACAAGAAACTCCCAGGTGACGCTGATACTCTTACCTGCGGTATGCAACATGGTAGCCAATTGCCACATGTAGTTATTTAAATCCAAATTATTCAAATAAAAAAAAAATTTAAAAGTCAGTCATTGTGCAGAGCATGGTGGTGCATGCCTGTGATCCCTGCACTCTGGGGGCTGAGGCAGGAGGATCACTGTGAGTTCCAGGCCAGCCTAAACTACATGGCAAGACCCTGTCTCAAAACACAAAAACAAAAACACATCAGTCATTGCAGGGTTGGGGTAAGGGAGGGTTGGAAGCAGGAAGGGGAGCAGCAGGGATGGCTGGCAAAATTCTATGTCTTGATTTGGGTGGAGATTTGAGTGCGAATTTAGTTCCCTTTTGTTCATCTGTGTATATATATTTTTTCATTTTTTGCTGTATGCATCATACAGCAAAAAAATTGTTTTTTTTTTTTGTTTGTTTGTTTTTCTCCGGTACCGAGAACCAAACTCACGACCTTGCGCTTGCCAGGCAGGCACTTTGCCGCTGAGCTAAATCCCCAGCCCCAGCAAAAAATTTAAAAAAAGAAAGTTTAAAAATTGCTCAGCATTTCCTGTACTTGCCATTTCAGGTAAAAATTTGAATTAGAAATGATTACTTATATATACAAACAAAATCTTTTGCAAGTTTTACATTCAAGTAGGCAACTCTGGCTATAGCTAGGTCACTGACTGAACTCTGAAGAGGAACCTGGTTCAAAGTTCATTCTGCAGTGTAGGCTGGAGCCTGTTTTCAAACTGAGAAGCCTATTGTTTAGAGCCACATAAAAATATGGGGAGAGAAGGGACTTTTTCAGTTATTCTAAGAAGGATCATTTTCCTGTTACTTATTCAGCGGTGAAAATAGACCAAAAAAGAACTCTTTAAATAGGGCTCTGCATTTCTGCAGTATCTTTGCATTTAGTTTGTACCAGTATTTGCTTGTGCACGATACCACTTTCTTATTTAAGGTATTTAACGATAAGAGAACATCAGCGAAATGCTTAGGAATACAGTGACTCATTCTTATCCATCACTACTATTTAGGTGCAGTTACAATGGGTCTGCCTCTTTGATTCAACATGATTAAGTTCATAATCACTCTCATGACTGGCGAAGTTAAACAAAAGGATGGCATCCAGTGAAGGAATCAAAGGAGATTCTCCTACACTGCAGGGTAAGGAGCAAAAGTTGAGAAGCCAATTGTTTTCTTTATTATTTTTTTAGTGGTACCGGGAATCAAGCTCATGACCTCATGCTTGTAAGGCAGGTGCTGTGCCACTGAGCTATATCCCCAGCCCCTTCTTTATGTTTTCTTGGAGGATTTAAAATGTTTTTTTTCCCTGAAATTAAAAGGATTTAGAAATGTTGGACAAAAGGGTTGGGGATATAGCTCAGTGGCATTAAGAGCAAGGTCATGAGTTTGATCCCCAATACGGCCTGGCAAGCGCAAGGTCATGAGTTTGATCCCCAGTACGGCCATAAAAAAAAAAAAGTTGGACAGTACTCTAGAAAACGGTCTTCACTTCCACTGGCTTCGATCAGCTACACAGATAATAAAGACTGTATCTGCAAAACATCGCTTCTCCTCTCACAGCTGTCCCCTGAACAGACAGGGTGGTTCTATCCAGATCTCAGGGACCCATGTTTCATGCTAGGAAGTGGAGCCCCCGGCACTCCTTCCCTCACCCCAAGACAACTGATTCCCAGGAAGAAATACAATATAAAAGGTGTTATCATTAGCTGTTCTGAAAAAAATATTTTAAGAGTCCCTTGCAGAGGTAGCCTGAGGATAGCTAGTTAGTTCTTGCTAAATTTAGGCTCATCACATAAAGAGCATATCTGTTTCTTTCAAAGTCAGATGAAATATTTTATTTCTCACTTAAAATGTTCCTCTGTTCATTGGTCAGAACAAGCCACAGCCCGAGTTAACAGAAAAGTCCGTACCAAAGTGCTGTCTGCTCTTCCACCTTCGAGGGTCACCTCTAAATTAGAAAGTGCGGCTTCCACTTCGTCAACCTCAGACTCGTTGGTAAAATCCTGGGTTTCATTGGACAGTGACAGCTTGCTGATGTGATACTAGGTGAAAATGTGGGTTTCAGAAATAATTACAAATACACACAGATCCTTTGGCTACTCGTTCTTCTCTGAAGACAGTTCCCCTGGGAAAAGGAACATGCCCCAAAAGGAGACCGCCCACCTGCACAGGGAAAACAGCATTTAAATCTGACCCATCCCTCTGTCCACAGCAAGATCAGGTTCAAACTCAATCTCTCCCCATCAGCAACTGGGCTTGGCAGGGGAAAAAAAAAAAAAAAATCACACTTGGAAGATGAATGCCTCCCACAGCATGTGCACAAGTATGAATTGCAAGTATTTTAAATTTAAATTTACTTATATCTGTTCCATTTCTTTCATCAAAGGGAAAATAAAGCACAAAGAATATGACACTTCAAGCGGGGTGCACTTGGTGTGTCTGCTTGCAGAGAAAAGGCACCAAAGATCCCATACCTGGAGTGCCGCGAAGATCAACATTTCTTCCTCTGTGCAGTCAATTTCTTCCAAGAGCACAGCCCACCTGGCTTGTTCGTAGAGCTGGTTTATTCTGACAGCATCGTACTGGAGGAAGAAACACATGTGTGTGTGTGCATGTATATGGGGGTATATTTACACTCTACAGTACAAAACTTCTGGAATACCTGAGGCCATTTTCTGTGAGTGAGATGCTCTAAACTTAATTCACGTAGCTGGAAGCAACATCTCTGTCTATTGCCCCATCTTGCTTTATTTCTGAATTCAGACCTTTCTTTTTGTGAATATTTTCCAGTTTCTTCAAGGGGTCAAACTGACCCACCTTTGACTCCACTGTTTTCCCTATCTTTACCACACATCTTTGGTAGTAAAAATGCTTTAAAAATGATAGGTAGTATAAAAAGAAGGGACCCCAAATTGATCTGTGGAGGCAGTGTAATCTCAAGCAAAATCTGATGGAGATTTTTACACAGAACTTCATGCTGATGTTCAAGTTAATATGGAAGAGATAGTGTTCAAAACTGCCAAGAAAATTTTGAAGGAGAAGAACAATGTTGGTGGTAGTAGTAGTCCTCACAGACATTAAAGCATATTATAAAGCTACAGGAATTAAAATAGCATGGTATCAGGACAGTGTGGGCAAAGTATCAATAAGGCAATATCTAGAAAGAGACCTATATCTAATTAAAGGTAACTCTTCATATACGTAAGGAAAGAAAGAATTCCATACCGGATGCAATGTTGAAAATGCCTAGTTATTTGGGGAACAAAAACTTCAAAACAAAACAGATCATCACACCATGCGAAAATATGTATGTAACCAGTGAGATACTAACAGCCAATGTGGTGAGGGTGTAGAAAATGGAACGCTTGTGCACTTTTGGATGTAAAATGGTGGGACCTCCGAAGAGAGGTGATCAGCAGTTTCTGGAAAGATAAACTTGGAAGGCAATCCAGCAATTCCACTCCTAGATGTGTACTCAAGAAAATAGATATCAGGCATTCAAACAGACACTGGCACAGCAATGTTCCCGGCAGCATTACCTACAATAGCCAAAGAGTGGAAGTAGCCCAATGTCCACCAGTGGCTGAGTAGATGAAAGGTGCTATGTAGCTGGGTGTGGTGGTGCACGCCTATAATCCCAGCACTCAGGAGGCTGAGGCAGGAGTTCAAGGCCAGCCTGGGCTATATAGTGAGTTCAAGGCTAGCTTGAACTACATAGTGAGACCCTGTCTCAAATGAAACAAAAATGAAGAAACAAACAAACAAACAAAAAAGGATGATATGGTGATATATCTATGCACATGACAGAATGCTATTTAGCCTTAAAAGGGAATAAAATTCTTCTTCTTCTTCTTTTTTTTTTTTTGGTCTTTTTGAGACAGGGTTTCACTATGCAGTTCAGGCTGGCCTTCAACTCACTATGTAGCTCAGGCTGGCCATGAACTCACAGCAGTCCTCCTGCCTTAGCCTCCCAAGTGCTGGGATTACAGGCGTGTGCTACCACACTTGGTGGGAATAAAATTCTGGTACATGGCACAACATGGACACTTAAAGCTGTTTTACTAAGTGAAATATATCAGACATGAAAGGACAAACATTATGTGACTTCACTTATACGAACTACCTAGAATATGCCAATTCACACAGACAGGAAGTAGAATAGAATTTACTGGAGCTGGAGGGAAGAGAAGAGGGGGATTTACTATTTAATGAACAAACTATTTCTTTTTTTTGAAACAGGGTCTCGCTATGCAGTTCAGGCTGACCTTGAGCTCATTTTGTAGCCCAGGCTGGTCTCAAACTCCCAACGATTCTCTTGCCTCAGCCTCCTGAGTGTTGGGATTACAGGTGTGCACCACCACGCCTGGCTCCAAGCAAACCATATCTGGTTGGGATGATGAAAAGGTTTTGGGAATGGGTAGTGATAATAGTTGTACAACGCCTGTAATCCCAGCACTTAGGAGGCTGAGGCAGGAGTTCAAGGATAGTTCAAGGCTAGTACTACTTTAATAGTGTCACGATCTCAAAGGGTTGTATGTATGCATACTTTGCTACAATAAAAAAATTTAAAAAACAAACTTGTAGGTGAATGTTCACAGCAGTATTATTCATAACAGCCCAAAAGTAAAAATGTCCCCTGGTCACCCTGGGCACCCTAAGGACCTTCCAGCTTTATGTTGTCTACCCCAGGCCATTTTGCTGCAGATGTGCAGCTCTGCAGAACAGCTCCGAGAAAAAGGCCAAAGCTCACAGCATTTATCTACCGTCATTCATCGTCCCAATAAACTCCAGATGGTTGCCGGGTGTGGTGGCGCACGCCTGTAATCCCAGCACTTGGGAGGCTGAAGCAGGAGGATTGTTGAAGTTCGAGGCCAGCCTGGGCTACAAAGTGAGCTCAAGGTCAGCCTGAACTGCATAATGAGATCCTGTCACAAAAAGACACACACAAAAAAAACAAAACTGCAAGTGGTCGGTGTGTGTCGAAAACTGAGCTGGTGACTAGCTGGGGACTTCATGCGAACTTGCCCTGATCCCCCTGCCTGATAACTCCTGAGCCCCTCAGTCTGTCCCTTCTTCCTGTGAATGCAGGCAGCAGCGCACCCTGGGGCAGGGCAGAGGCCCCCTGGAGCTTCCTAGCAGCTCAGGGCGGGTGACTGGGACCAGGGTGTGTCAGCCTCGCCCTGCAGAGCCTAGAGACTACACCGGCAGGAAGATCCTAATTTGGTAACACAGTGACTCAATTTTGCATTTCACAGGACAAAAGAGAGAGGGGTAAAGAAAAGGGAAGAGGCTTACTTTAGGATTCAAGTCAAAGAAACTGTAGTATTTGAATCGTAGCAGCAGCTGCTCATCCTCTTGGATGCCTTGTTCCATGAGGGAGCGGGAGGAATCCAGCCAGCTGGAAAACAGCAGCCGGGGTTAAAGCCAGTCAGTCACACACACAGTTCTATGTATGTTTATATTGTTTATAAACAGACATATATTTGTACACGGTATCCTTGAGCAAAGGCAGAGTGAGCACTGTCACCCGCAAACCAGTAAGCACACGAGAGCTTCTATTTACGTATTTACCGAGGAAAGCAAGGTTTCATTTTGTAT